CTTGCGGAAGCTCCATGTATATTTGCGATGAGGATTTAGACCAACTCCTGCGTGACGTGGCCGGGAGGGTCCCGCGCTGCCTTGTGCGGTGCCGGACCGATGCGCTCGACACCGCTTCCACCCGAGGACCAGTCCTTCCTTTTTCCAAAAGCCTCAGTTCTACCAGAGCTAGGTGTAGATAGTCTGCAATTTTGCCAAGGACCGGTCTCCCAATTTGTTTTGCCCCCTAAAAACCCACTTTGGGTCCTAGTCGCCCGCCGCCAAAAATATGACACCTTGACAAAGACGCCGAAGGCACTATTGTCTACCGCATGGGCACGGGGAACGTAGCCCTAAGGTAGCCAAAGCAATGAGACTAAGAGTACGCGTGCGCGCGCGCGCGCGCGCGCGCGCGAGAGAGAGAGAGAGAGAGAGAGAGAGAGAGAGAGAGAGAGAGAGAGAGAAAGAGAGAGAGAGAGAGAGAGAGAGAGATAGAGAAAGAGAGAGTTTTGTCCCATTTATTATTATGAGTGTGAGAGAGAGACAAAGAGTGAGAGAGAGAAGGAAAGAGATATAGAAAGAGAGATAGAAAGAGAGATAGAAAAAGAGAGAGGGGGTAGGGCCTTCCAAAGAGAGAGAGAGAGAGAGAGAGAGAGAGAGAGAGAGAGAGAGAGAGAAAGAGAGAGAGAGAGAGAGAGAGAGAGAGAGAGAAAGATGTTGAATGACAAAATTAAAATATGGGTCAAATTGCGGCCGCGATTTATTTCACAGTTGGAATGATTTTTTTTTTTTATTGAGCATTTTTCTTGGAAATATCACAACAAAAACTACGAATACTCAAATTTTTAAGTTTTTTCACGCATTTTTCTGAGCGTGAAAACTCACTGAATTTGGAGTACTTTTTTAGTTGGCCCACACATGGCTGAGTGGCAAAAATAAAAAATGTGTCAAATTGGCGTGACGATTATTTTGCAGTCTAAATGATTTTTTGAAAATGTTCTAATATTATTCCTGGAAAGGACACGGCCTCATCTATGGATTCTCAAAATCTCAGATTTTTCTCTTGTTCGTTCGAGCACAGAAAATCGTCAAAGTTGTCTCTTGCAAAATGTCTGTTTCATTGTGCCTATCCTCCCTGTTTTAAGAAGAGGACTCAACGTCTGGGCCTGAGGACCCTTTTGCAGCTCACATGCCCTCGCTTCTTTTTAGGGTCCGCTTCTACCTGAGGACCGGTCAAACACCCCCTACTACTTTTTGGGGTCCACTTCCACCTGAAGACCGGTCCTTCCTTTTTTCAAAAGTCCCGTTTCTACGAGAGCTAGCTGTAGGTAGTCCTCAATTTCGCCAAGGACCGGTCCCCCAATTGTTTTTGCCCCTAAGTACCCACTTTGCGTCCTAGTCGCCTGTCGCTGAAAATGCGACACCTTGACACAGACGCCCCTTAGGGCTGCGAATTGTCTACCGCGTGGGCACAGGGAACGCAACCTTAAGGTAGCCAAATCATTGAGACTAAGAGCTCGCACAAGAGAGAGAGAGAGAGAGAGAGAGAGAGAGAGAGAGAGAAAAAAAAAAAAAAAAAAAAAAAAAAAAAAAAAAAAAAAAAAAAAAAAAGAGAGAGAAAGTTTTGTTTCATTTATTGTTACGAGTGTGAGAGAGGGACAGGGAGTGAGAGAGACAAAGAAAGAGAGATAGAGAGAGAGGGGGGGGACGCTTACCAGAGAGAGAGAGAGGGGAGAGGGGGAGGGGGACTACCAGATAGAGAGAGAGAGAGTTTTGTTCCCTTTGTTGATACGAATGAGAGAGAGAGACAGAGAGAAAGAGAGAAGGAAATAGAGAAAGAAAGAAAGAGAGATAGAGAGAGAGGGAGGCGGGGGCCATACCACAGAGAGAGAGAGAGAGAGAGAGAGAGAGAGAGAGACAGAGAGAGAGACAGAGAGAGAGAAAAAAAAAAAGAGAGAGAGAGAGGTAGGCTAAATGGGAAAATTGAAATATGAGTCAAATTGCATTCGCGATCTATTTCGTAGTTGGAATGATTTTTTTTAATTTATTTAGCGTTTTTCTTGGAAATATCACAACAAAATATACGAGTACTCCAATTTTCAGGTTTTTTCACGCATTCTTTTGAGAGTGAAAACTCACTGAATTTGGAGTACTTTTTCAGTTTGCCCACACATGGCTGAGTGGTAAAAATGGAAAATGTGCCAAATTCGCGTGACGATTATTTATCGGTCTAAATGATTTTTAAAAAAATATTCTAATATTTTTCCTAGAAAGAACACGACCTCATCTATGGATTCTCAAAATTTCATATTTTTCTGCAGGTTGCTCGGAGCACAAAAAATCGCCAAAGGTGCCTCTTGCAAAATGTCTGTTTTGTTGCGCCTGACCTCCCTGTTTTGAGAAAACAGGCCTCAACGCTTGGGCCTGAGGGCCCTTATGCAGTTCACATGCCCTCAGTTTGTTTTGGGGTCAACTTCCACCCGTGGACCCGTCCAACACCCCCCACTTCTTTTTGGGGTCCGCTTGCACTCGACGACCGGCCCTTCCTTTTTCCAAAAGTCTTGGTTCTACCAGAGCTAGTTGTAGGTAGTCAACAATTTTGCCAAGKACCGGTCCCCCAATTTTTTTTGCCCCCTAAGAACCCACTTTGCGTCCTGGTCGCCCGCCGCAGAAAATGCGAAACCTTGACACAGACGCCAAAGCCCAGCATACCGCAGCCTTAGGGCTGCGAACATCGGTCCCAAAAACAACGACCCTTCAAAACCAAGGTCCCAAGAATTGTCTACCACGTGGGCGCGGGGAACGCAGCCCTAAGGTAACCAGGACAATGAGACCAAGAGCGCGCACAAGAGAGAGAGAGAGAGAGAGAGAGAGAGAGAGAGAGAGAGAGAGAGAGAGAGAGAGAGAGAATTGTGTTCCATTTATTGTTATGAGTGTGAGAGAGAGACAAGAAGTGAGAGAGAAAGAAAGAGAGATAGAGAGAGAGGGAGGGGAGCGGCCTACCAGAGAGAGAGAGGGAGGGGGGCGGCCTACCAGAAATAGATAGATAAATAGATAGATAGATAGATAGATAGATAGAGAGAGAGAGAGAGAGAGAGAGAGAGAGAGAGAGAGAGAGAGGGAGGTTGAATGGCAAAATTGAAATATGGGTCAAATTGCGGTTGCGATCTATTTCACTATTGGAATGAAATTTTGAAATTTGTTTAGCATTTTTCTTGGAAAGATCACAACAAAATCTACGAGTACTCTAATTCTCATGTTTTTTCACGCATTCTTCCGAGCGCGAAAACTCACTGAATTTGGAGTACTTTTCTAGTTGGCCCGCACATGGCTGAGTGGCAAAAATGAAAAATGTGCCGAAGCGGCGCAACGATTATTTCGCGGTCTAAATGATTTTTTGAAAATGTTCTAATATTTTTCCTATGACAACTGGACCCGCCGCGGCGCAGGAAAGGAACGGGGAGCGGAGCAAGGCATATGATTAGAGAAAGGAAGGGAAGAGGAGGGTGGGGGGGGAGGAGGTATGCGACATTATTTGTGGAGAGAAACACAGATTCAGGGCGAGGTAAGTCGGATGCACAAAGGGGCAAATTCAGCAGGTGGACAAATCATCGAAGATGCACAGAGAACAAATTCGGGGAATGGAGAAATGGTTGAAAAAATTCAAATATACAAACTGCGAAAAAAAAGAAGAGGGGGGGGGGGAGGAAACGACGTGCGGCTACAACGACCGTGCATGCGTTCCACAGTGGTGAAGACTGTCACTCACTCACTCCTGCTCTTCTTCCTCTTCTTTAGGGGTGCATCCTTCCGCATTTCATTGCGCGTCGCCCGTTCACCGCACGTGAATGCGCTCATCACCTACTCACGCATTGGGCTTGCTATCTCTTACACGCTTCCTTTTTCCCAAGCACTGTCCCCTTGTTCCTCGCGCGTTGCTCCTCCTCATCACGTCATTCTTCACAAAAGATCTTCTTCTCTCATGTCGCCCACGTGTCTCCTCGTAATTCCCGTTCTTTCGTGTGTTTTCTCCTTTTTGTTCCACGCATCTTCTCCTTCATCACCCGCGTGCCATCTCCAATGCGCAATTTCTGCAATATACCATCATACAGTATACCTTTCTCGGCCTTTTGAGTCCAGTGTATCTGTTCTGGCCAGTTTAATATCTGATCTGTGATCCATCGGACCATCAAAAAAGAAAAAAAACATCATATATTTGCAAGCGATGACAATAATTCTTCTGTAATCTTCTGTTATGTGTCTTGGATGTGTCATCATATGTCTTTGGCGAGAGAGAGAGAGAGAGAGAGAGAGAGAGAGAGAGAGAGGGTTCCCGTGTTATCAGAAGTCAAAGTCAACTCACTCTGTGCCTCACCACACACATCTATGTCTTTGTTTCACGTCCGTACTCCCTCTCTCTTGCTGTGTTCGATCGTGCACGTTCACGGTATGTTACCACGCGCGTCTATGTCTTCGTTTCAAGTCTGTACTCTCTCTCTATCTTGCTGTGTCAAGATCTCGCACGTTCACCGTGTGTTACGAATTACGGATTACGAATTCCAAAAGCCTCCACGCCCCCCAATGTCTTCGCACGGACTTTCGGCGCTTTTCGCTAAGAGCAGGCGTTCAGACGGCTGAAACAAGAGCGCGGCTGCCTTTCCTGTCCTTGCTTTTTCCAAGAGGCCCGGTCATTCCAGAGCTGCCTGTAGGTAGTCCCCAATTTTGCCAAGGACCTTCCTTTTAGGGGTCGGCTTCAACCCGAGGACCGGTCCTTGCTTTTTCCAAAAGGCGCGGTCATTCCAGAGCTGCCTGTAGGTAGTCCCCAATTTTGCCAAGGACCGGTTCCCCCCAAACTTTTGCCCCCTAAAAACCCACTCTGCGTCCTGGTCGCCCGCCGCAGAAAATGCGACACCTTGACGCGACGCAGAAGCCCACTATACCGCAGCCTTAGGGCTGCGAACTCGGAAACCTGCGGGACCGCTGCCTTTGGGGCTTCGCATTCGTTAGGGTTGAGGGAAAGGGCGGAGAAGTAGGTGCTTTGATCGTCCAGGTCGAGGTGAGGTAGACCGCGGGGCTCATGCGAGCTGGGCCAGAGAGAGGACGAGTAGTGGGAGGAGGCTCAGAGGACTCTGTGCGAGAGAAAGGGGTTGGACTGTGGGCATGGTAGCGGGAGACTTTCCATCAGGCTGCAGATCTGATGTTCGATTTTGCCAGGCGGTAGTCCATCCGTTTTGACTGCTTCAGAAAGCAACAAGAGCCATATCCGTCCGATTGGCTACAACGCAGTCAAAAGTTGCCCTTGCGCCGAGCTGTTGGTTGACCGTAGGGCAACGGCAATTGCAGTCTGGACTATCAAACACGCTGTCCTTCGTTCGCGGAAGATTTACCCGTGCGGACCTCTGTTCGTCGATCTCGTCAATCTAATAATTCTTACGCCAGGAAAAATGTGATTTCAGCGCGTGCTTACGCGTGTGTGCATCTGTGTGCATGCTTGTGCTCGTTGGCGCGTGTGGGTGCGCACGTGAGCGCGTGCGCCGGTGCTAGCATTGTGCGCTTAGCACGTGTTCAAAGACAAAGATATCTAGCGAAGAGAGAGAGAGAGAGAGAGAGAGAGAGAGAGAGAGAGAGAGAGAGAGAGAGAGAGAGGTTTTGCTGTGAAGCGTTGGAGGTACAACAGCGGAAATGGGCTCCCGACTACGGTACGTACTCGAAGCTTTGTGCCTTGTACGAGCACTGGTGGTCTGCTCTTTGCAACTGCAATTCGGTGTGGTTTCGATCCCCTTTCTTTTCAGCTTCGAGGCCTTCCACTTTGCTCCTTTCCTTATTCAGCAGCCAGGCATTTCCTTTTCTGTCCCAATTCATTGCTCCCGTTCCTGAATTCCTCAACCCTACCTACCTTTGGCATCGCCGTTCCTCAGTCTTTTATATCGTCATCCCCCTGTGTTCCCCCGTGCGCGTTTCTCCATCCCCCCTTCTCCATCTGTTTGTCTGTCTCCAGTTCTCAATCCCCGTCCTCTTAATTCCTGAACCCTTCTTCCCTCCCTTCTCTATGTTCTTATCTACCTCCTCTCTGTCTCTGCATCTCCTATTCTCTATCCCAGTCCTTGATCCTCCATTGATGCTCTTTGGTGTCTCAAATCCTCTGTGTTCACATTTGTTTCCATTTTGTCTTAATCTCTATCTCCGTTCTCATATAGATTTCTCTCCACCCGCTACCCCATCTCTACCTCCCATCTTCACCTTCATCTCTACCCCCATCCTGACCGCCATCTTTGCCGCCTCCCCTCTCTTTCTCTCTTCGATCTCTATTTGTTATCCACACATCCCATCTCTACCCCCATCCTTACCGCCATCTATGCCGCCTCCCCCTCTCTCTCTTCCATCTCTATTTGTCATCCCCACATCCCATCTCTACCCCTCCAATCTCTACCTTCTACCCCTCCCATCTCTACCCCCATCCTTACCGCCATCTATGCCGCCCCCCCTCTCTCTCTCTTCCATCTCCGTTTGTCATCCCCACATCCCATCTCTACCCCTCCCATCTTTGCCCCTCCCATCTCTACCCCTACCATCTCTACCCCTATCATCTTTACCTCCTCTGTACCTCTCATCTCTGCCTCCCATTCTCTCTTCCATTTCTATTTGGCATCTCGACTTTCAATCCCCTCCTCACCCCTCTCTCTCCATCCCTACCACCCATGCCGGGTCTTTATCCCCGCCCTACCGTACACTGTCGTCATGTCGTCGCATATCCGTCTTCCCCGTTTTCCGTGTCCTCTCTGTTTTCCTCCTCTTGCCCCCATGTGCTCCCATCTATATCTCCTTCCTTTTCAGTTTCGTGTCCTTCTCGTGTCGGGTATGATCAAATTTACCCGCTCTTTCAATCTCATTGGATCTGCCATCGGCGCTTGTGGAAGAGGGCGGCAATCACGCTGTTTTTCCTTTCCCCCTTCCCCCCCCCTTGAAGTACTTCATCTCATGCCCTTCCTCTACTATTGTCTTTGGCTCGCTTCATCCTTATTACTTCCCACTCCGCGGCCGCAGTAAGCCGGGGGATCGAAGGTCCGTTCCACTTGTGACAAGTCGTTCTTATGAAACACACTCTCTCTCTCTCTCTCTCTCTCTCTCTCTCTCTCTCTCTCTCTCTCTCGCTGTCGCTGTTTAGCGTTGAGAAGCTGAAGCGGTGGCTGCGGGCGCGGAGGGTAGATTTTCCCTCATGTCTATGGGAACTGTGTAATTTGCGCACAGTGCGTCCTCCTGTCTATATGATGTGATGCTCGATGGAAAGGGTGTCCTGTGGAGGTGTGGTGCGATTGCCATATGAATGCGCGCATGCTGTCATTCGCACTTCTCGCCTCTGTCTATGTGCAGTGTGTCATTAGTTATGTATTCCGCAGCCGCCTGTCGAATGGCTGTACCTCCCAAATTCTGCATCCATCCATGGAAATAACTATTCAGTTCAGTCTTCACGCATCCGCCCTAATGGCGAGCTATTTGTCGTTCTCTATAACCTCTCTCATCGTACATGTGTAACAGTAGTCATCCATCTAATCTGTCCCTTAATTACAATCTGTATACGCATATCACGTGTATATAAATATGTTTGACGATATATATGAATACAGATCAAGGACAAAATAAAGGACAGATTAGACGGATGGCAGATGGAGTACAAGATAAATGAAGGACATTAGATGGATGTCTACGATTACACACATGCGTAACGAGAGAGTTGTGGAGAACGGCAAATAGCTGGTCGTTAGAAAGAATGCGTGAATATATATATGATGAACGTCCTGCCGTGTTTTTGACATGTGGACAACACGTCCTCTGTCAGGACTGTTTTGATGGGATGGTTCGTGCTAACCGTCCTGCAGAATGCTGTGCTGGCGCAGCTCTCCTTGGGCATCCTTGTGAACATCCACATCATCCTCACCGTAGCTGTCCTATCTGCCGAGGTGGGGGCAGGTAAAGNATATGTTATGTGGGATGGTACTTGGATTATCTGTGGGATGTGTACTTGCTTCGTCTGTTTAATAGGCTTTCTTCTTCTGTGAGGTTTGGTTTCCTTCGCCTTTTCTTTACCTTTTTGCCTTTTGGCTGCGTGCAAGTGGGTCTTTATGACACACGGGGATGGGGGCCGCCAGCGCTCAACCTGTCATCCACGTGGCTGGCCTTGTACGTAAGAGGTTATGAACAGGTGGAGCTTTCCTTACCTCTTCTTCTCCCCCCTTTTTCTTTTCTCTTCTTTTCTTCTTTTTTCGCTTCTGCGCTCTGATATCATGTGACAATATATATATATCTTTCTTTCCCTGTCAGGTTTGGTTTCCTCCTCCCCTTCTTTACCTCTTTGCCTTTTGGCTGCGTGCAAGTGGGTCCTTGTGACACACGGGGATGGGGGCAGCCAGCGCTCAACCTGTCATCCACGTGGCTGGCCTTGTACGTAAGAGGTTATGAACAGGTGGAGCTTTCCTTACCTCCTTCCCCTCCCCCTTTTTTCCTTTTCCTTTTTTCTTTCCCCTTTTTTTGCGCTCTGATTCACAATGTGACAATATATATATCTATATATATATAGATATAGATATAGATATAGATATAGATACGTATAACAGTTTGTCACAGCCTCTCTTTTTTTGTCCTCTTCTTCCTCTCTGCGTACGGTTTACCGGGCAGCTCTGTTTGACGGTATGTATATATACACGTATATATATAGCTGCTCGGTAAACCGTAGGCAGAGAGGGAGAAGAGGAACGAGGGGCTGTGACGAAATGTTTTGTCGAAGTGTATATATCGTCGCAAAGATATCAGAGCGCAAAAACAATAAAACAAAAAGAAACAAGAAAGAAGTGTATATATACATTAATACTTATATATCGTCAAACAGAACTGCCCGGTAAACCGTCGGCAGAGATGGAGAAGAGGACAACAAAACATATATCATGTATGTACATACAATATATGAGTCGGTGAAACTCCGACGAAACAGTTTGTCACAGCCCCTCGTTCGTTGTCCTCTTCTCCCTCTCTGCCTTACGGTTTACCGGGCAGCTCTGTTTGATGATATATTCTGTTTGTGACGATATATATACATATATGTAAGATAAAAAATGAATCGACTTTTTTTTTCTGTTTTTTATCGCTTTGGCGCTCTGATATCTTTGTGTCGATATATAAATATTTGTAGGGTTCAGCCTCCTGATGAGTCGGTGATACTCTGACGAAACAGTTTGTCACAGCCCTCGTTTGTTGTCCTCTTCTCCCTCCCTCTCTGCCTACGGCTTACCGGGCAGCTCTGTTTGACCATACGCGGAGTGTCAGATGTGTCAGAGCACACACTCTGATGCGCCGCGACGCAAACATGTTTTCAGATTGTTTTCCTGTTTTTTTGCGCGTTCAACGCTGAACGCGGCCACGTTCGGACCCAATTATTACAATTACAATTACAATCGTGTGAACCCTCCACGATAGTCTGACACTCTGACGAGCTCTGATACTTTCTGACATTCGCAGAAGCTCTCTACATTCACTGACAGATTTCGACTCGCTGATGATCTGAATCAATCAGCTGCTATGTAGCGAAGCGATGGAGGCTTTGTGCGTATCAAAGAGACAATGAGTGTAGGGCGTGGACGACAGGAGATAATGAGCTCGATTGCTGCGCCGGTGTACCTTGTCGGGTGATGAGTGCGTGTAGGGCTTGAACTGAAGAGATAATGAGTTTGATTGCTGCGCCGGTGTACACTGTATGTTCAAACTCATCATTGACATTCCGTGTGGCCGGCTTGATTGCCGCGCTGGTGTTTAGCCTCATCTCATCATCATCTACTTGCCGTGCGATCGATGGACGGCGACCGACCGCCGATGGGTCGGTCGGTAATGCGTGTAGATGCACTGATGCTGCAAATCTCATAAGGGGAGCAGTCGTTGTAGCTGATGCAAATCTCATAAGGGGAGCACTCCTTGTAGCTTGTGAAGGGCGACAGGTCGTTGGCAATCCGTTGAGCACGGATGATGCAAATCTCATAAGCGCCACTCCTCGGTCGTCGGTGATGCGTTAAGCGACACTTCTTTTAGCTGGGGACCGACCAGTCGTTGATTGTGATACCTAGAGTTATGAATTGTGCTGCTCCCCGTGCTGTTTCAACCCGTCGACGTCTTTTCATCGGCATCGCTGTTCTGACACGTCGGGATCCTGGTACAACGTTGGGAGCAGTCAATCTTAAGGGTGCGCGGGCTCTCATGGGGCATTGAGTTCAAAGTCAAGCTCACTTTTATGCAACATGCTCGCTGTGTGCCAGGTGGACGACGACCACCGATCGTCAAATCGTTGATGGTGACGCGCATCTTCGTGTGTTTTCTTTGAAGCGAGCATGCGAAGATGGGTCCAATGGGCATTAGGAAACCCTGACGTGCCATGTGGACGACGACGTGGCCGAATCGTTGATGATGACGCGCAATGTTTTATGGAACAGGCTCGCTGTGTGCCAGGTGGACGACGACGACCGATCGCCGCTCGTCCAATGAGGCGTTAAGTATCCCTGACGTGCCACGTGTCGAGTTTCCCCATATCTTCTTGACACTGTAGAGCGAAGAAGGGTACAGGAAAATGGGAAATTTGACGACCACCTGTAGGGATTTTTTGGGCCCGGGAATGGGTGGCGGTGTTAGTTCTTGCAGTTTTAAAAAGATGCTTATGTTT